TCCCCTTTGTGTGTCCTCAGGGGTCACCAGGTCCTCAGCGTCCCCTTTGTGTGTCCTCAGGGGTCACCAGGTCCTCAGCATCCCCTTCGTGTGTCCTCAGGGGTCACCAGGTCCTCAGCATTCCCTTCGTGTGTCCTCAGGGGTCACCAGGTCCTTTCCGTCCCCCTTGTGTGTCTGTGGGTGTCACCAGGTCCTCAGCGTTCCCTTCGTGTGTCCTCAGGGGTCACCAGGTCCTCTCCGTCCCCCTTTGTGTGTCTGTGGGCGTCACCAGGTCCTCACTGACCCCTTTGTGTGTTTGCAGGCGTCACCGCCATAGCATGGAGCCTGGAAGAGAAGCTGCTGGTGGTGGGCACCCAAGATGGCGCCATGGTAGTGTGGGATGTGGAGGAACAACAGGTGGTCCATGTTTTAACAGGACACACAGGTGATGAGTGGGAAGCGGGGTGGCTGCACATTGTCCCCAGAGTGACTTCTCCCTCACGCACTTACGTCCTTATGCTGAGACTGAATCAGTCAGCTAGAACTGCGCAACAAACAATTTGCTGCCTCACACACAGTGGCCGCAAACAAGCTTTTTATTATCTCTGTGGAAGGGAGCGTGGCCGTATGCAGGCAGGTGTGGTGTTGAAGGGGTAGCAGTCACACTGGGCGGAATTCTGAGCATAGGAAACCTCCAAGCCCACCCCCATAGTGACGCACTTCCTCCAACAAAACCACACCTCCTATCAGTGCCACTCCCTATGAGATTACAGGGGCAATTACATTCAAACTTCACACCCTCTCTGACAGCCGGTGACTACCGCTACCCTGAGCAGACCTTTTCAGGGTCACAGCTGCTGTGAGCTCGTGAAAGGGACAGTCTCATCGCACCTGAAAGGCAGCAATCCCACAATGCTCCAGTGCAGCTTCCAGATCCTACACTCTGTTCTCTTCCCATCCCATGAGCCTATCTCTGAGCTTTGTGGGGGACTGATACAGATGACCCATTTTGAGGGGCTTGTCACTTGGCAATCACTTTATTCTCACAAGCCACTTCTTCTGAGGGTTGCTAACTCAGGCGGGCTCTGCAGGGTGGTTCTTCAGGCCCCACCCAGCTGACAAGCACTGATACCCCATCATAATCGCACGGGGGAGGTGGCTAGCTCATGGTGTTCTTGACTGAGCCCGTTGACGTCTTGTTGTGAGGAACTACAAAATCACATTGTCAGCAGTGTGCGTCAGGAGAGCGGGGTCACATTGTCAAATGCTGTGGTGGTGCATGCCTGTAGTCCTAGCTATCAGGAAACAGAGGTAGACGGATCTCTATGAATTCAAGGCCAGCCTGGTCTATAGAATGAGTTCCAGGACAACCAGGGCTACACAGAGAAACCCTGTTTTGAAAACCCACAACAACTAATAATAATAATAATAATAAATCCCTTTTTAAATGATACCAAAATATGGTATAAATGCTGCTCAGGCTGGCAAGATAGTTCACTAGGTAAAGGCACTTACATCAAAAATCTGTGACCTGAGTTTGATCTCCAGAACCAATGTAAATGTGGCTGAAGAGAAAGACTCTAGAAAGTTCTCTGACCTCCACATGCACCTGCATGGTGGCAGCATGTATGCCATCCCCTCCCCTAACATCATGTGTGCACACACAAAGATGGTGAGTTTTTTGTTGTTTTGTTTCTGTCCTGGAACTCACTCTGTAGTCTAGGCTGGCCTCGAACTCACAGAGATCCTCCTGCCTCTGCCTCTGGAGTGCTGGGATCAAAGGTGTGCACCACCCCCCCCAGCAGTTGTTTAGATTTTTTAGCCCGAGGTAGAAACCATGATAAACTGCCCCCCTAATATGCTCACCCACACTGTGCCCACTGCAGCTGAGGTGAAGTGCATTCGAGTGTTTGCCCTAGGGACTCTCGCCATCTCTGCATCAAAAGACTGCACCCTGCGCCTGTGGAGCCTGCTCTCTGGCCAGGAGAAACTTACCATTTTGGACAGAGGCTCACCAACTTCCACAGAGCCTCAGAGCTGGGAGCTCCATGTGGATGAGATGAACAAAGTCATATACTTGACATCTAGTGCAAAGGTAACAAACTGAGTTGTGTGTCTGTGTGTGTGGAGAGAGAGAGAGAGAGAGAGAGAGAGAGAGAGAGAGAGAGAGAGAGAGAGAAGCAGTAGTGGTGGTACACAGCTAAAAACCCAGAACTTGGGAAGCAGAAGCAGGAGGATTGCTGCTGTATGCCCAGGTCATTTTGTTTAGCATTTGTAAGACAGTAGGGTCTGGGTAAAGCACTGTAGAAGCATGAGGACCTGAGTTGGAACCCAGCACTCAAGTACAGCCAAGTGGGTGGCACGCCTGTAACCTGTGCTGACAGCCTGGAGCTCCGGGCCACCAGCACGGTCCAGCAGAGGAGGCGAGCGGCCTGGCAGGACGCTGCCACAGACTTGCCACCAAGTCTGATGACCGGAATTCGGTCCCCCAACCCCACAGGATGGCATGAGATAGTGGTGCGAGGGTGGCATGTGAAGGTGCGTGGGTGTGTGTGGGCACATGTGCTGTGGTGCACACCCAGAAGCCAGAGAGCAACTTGGGTATCAGTTCTTGCTGTCTTTCTGCTTTGAGGGCGAAATCTCTTGCTGCTGCCGTGTGCTCCAGGCTGGCTGGCCTGTGAGAATCTCAGAGATTAGACCTCCACCTCCCTACAGGAGCAGTGCGACTACACACACACACACACACACACACACACACACACACAGTGTGCCTGCTGTGTGCAGGTTTTGCAGATTCAAGCTCGGGTCCTCTTCCTTATGTGGCAAGTGCTCTACCCACTGAGCCATTTCTCTGGACTCCAAAATTTTCCTTTTGCTTTCTTCTTTGATGCTGGTTTATGCTGACATGTGATATTTGTGTTTGAGTATTTTGGTTTTTTTTTTTAATTATTTTATGTCTAGGGCTCTTTGGCCTGCATGTGTGTCTGTGCAGTATGCATGTGCAGTCCCATGGAGGCCAGAAGAGGGTGTTGGACCCCCTGGGACTGGAGTTCCAGACAGTTGTGAACTGTCCTTTGGGTGCTGGGAACCGGACTCAGATCTTCCGGACAATCAGCCTGTGCTCTTACCCACTGAGCTCCCTTTCCAGCCCCATTTCTGGGTATTTGAGAGGTTTTCTACCTGGATTCCATTTGTGTAAGGCAAATTCTTCAAATCCACTGAGTCCTGCTTTATAATCTCACTTAGTTCTAGATGCATCTAGAACCCGTGTCTCCCAGTGTGTCTGTCCTGGCATTCATAGCCCTGCCATCTGACAGGGAGGTCAGATACACAGTCACAGTCCTGTAGCCTCAGGAGGCCGAGGCGGGGCTTGAGACCAAGGCTGCCACTGGGTGTGTAACAAGTTCAAGGCCAGCCTGGGCTGACTTAGCCTCCCACAAAGACTGGCTGGGGAGGTGGTTCAGAGGATGATGCTGGTACACGCCAGGTGAACTCCGAGCAGATTATCAGCACCGCGTGCCATCTGGATGTGTGGGTGATCCATAAGTCAGGGCCGAGGAGCAGACTGGCAGACCTGACAAGTGGGTCCCGGGATCTCCGCCACAGCCTAGTCAGTGTGCTCCAGTTCAGGGTCCACCTCGTCCCTCGTCCACTCTGAGAGGATCCTGTTGAATATGGAGTGTTTGATTTGTCTGCATAGCCAGCTTTCTCTGTGGTCCTCTGATTCTGCCTCCCAAGAGCCAGATGACAGCAGCGGCTGCACCTGCCTGGCCTTTCCATAGGTGCTGGGGCCTGAAATCCGACCCCAGCTTGGCCAGCAAGCTCTGTGCCTGCTGGCTGTCTTCTAGCCTTCAGCATCTTTTCATTTGTTTTTTGAGACAGGGTCTCTCTGTTCAGCCTTGCCTCAAACTTGTGGCAGCTCTCCTGCCTCAGCTTCCCAAGTGTGAGACCTGGCTTTAACAACAATTTTTTTTCTTTTTTTTTACTTTTTGGGTTTTTGTTTTTTGTTTTTTGGGTTTTTTTTTGTTTGTTTGTTTTTTTGAGAAAGGATTTCTCTGTGTAGCCCTGGCTCCTGGAACTCACTCTGTATCTGGAACTCACTCTGTAGACCAGGCTGGCCTTGAACTCACAGAGTGAGTTCTGTCTCCCAAGTGCTGGGATTAAAGGCATGCACCACCATGGCCTGGCTAACATCAATATCTTAATATTTATTTACGGTGTGTGTGCTTGTGTGGCTCATGAGGAGGTCAGAGGAAAAACCAAGGGAGTTAGTTCTCTCCTTCTACCCTGTAGGCTCCAGGATTTAAACTCCAGTCATCAGGCTTAGCTACAAGCCCCTCCACTTGGTAAACCATCTCATAGGCCCCGTGACCAATATTTTACAACAAGGACATACTTGTCACAGATGAGACCAGTCAGAAGGAAATGACACCTTGTCCTGTAACATGAGGGTCTGCTTGTTGGGGTTTCTGTCCTGCCCAGTTCCCACAGCTGGTAAGCCCCCAAAGAAAATCACACAGAGAGTCTATATTAAGGATAAAATTGATTGACCCATTAGCTCAGGCTTCGTATTAGCTCTTACAACTTACATTAACCCATTATTCTTATCCGTGTTAGCCACATGGCTCAGTACCTTTTTCAGCAGGGCAGATTACATCCTGTTTCTTTGGTGGTCTGGGCAGGACTGCGGAAAGAGCTTCCTTCTTCCCAGAATACTCCTATTCTCATTGCCACACCTCTACTTCCTGTCTGGTTTTCCTGCCTATACTTCCTGCCTGGCTATCAGCCAATCAACGTTTATTTAAAATATAATTGACAGAATATAGAATTGTCCTGCACCATTGTCCCATCACTGCCTCTGCTGCCATGTTATAAAATCTTTTTTAAAAATTATCAGTGTTGAAAGAATCAGGTTTTCAACAGGAGATGATGGAGCACCCCTTTAATCCCAGTATTCAGGAGACAGAGGCAGGCAGATCTCTGTGTTCTGAGTTCAAGGCCAGCCTGGTCTACAAAACAAGTTCCAGGATAGCCAGGGCTACACAGAGAAACCCTGTGCTGAAAAGAAAATAAAACAAAATAAAAAAGAAAGAGGTTTTGTTCTATACATGTAGCGCACACAGGCCCTTCTGTCTCACCCTCAGGGTGGTTAGAACACAGGTTAGAACACAAATGCTATTTTATAAATTACAAAAGAATGTGTGCACCTGGGCACAATGACGGGCGATAAATGCTCCGAGCTGCATGGGAGGCTGACAAAGGTGGGTTATTTGAGCCCAGAGTTCATGGCCAGCTTGGGCAATATAACAAGACTCCATGTGGCAACATGAGAACATGGGAGCGAGAGGGAGAGAATATATTTCTCTGGAAGACTCAGGCAAGCTCTCTTGCTTGGGAATCTCCTTTCTAATTTCTTAAAATTTATTCTTTTGGTTTGCTTGTTTTTATTTTGTTTTTTGAGATTGCCCCTCTCACTGCTCAGGCTGACCTTGAGCTCACTGTGTAGTTAAGGTGACACTGATTCTCCTGCCTCCACTCCCCATGTGTTGGGATAACACGCACCATACCTGGTTTGTGTGAGTCCCGCTGATGCTGATGTTTCTCTTGCTTTTCACGGCTCCACTAGATCAGCGTGTGGAACCTGGAAACCGCGAAGCTGGTTTTCTGTATCCCAGGAGATGCTTCTGACCCCTGGGCCTGCGTGGCGGTGCTGGCCGCTCGGGGTGTGCTGCTCGCTGTGTCCAAGGGCGGTCAAGTTAGTCTGTGGGACTCAGCCTTGGGAAAGCTGCAGGAGAAACACCAGCTTTCCAGCATCAAAGAGGAGACACTCACCTGTGCCGTCTCTGTCCAGACACGGGCAAAGCTGGTCACTGGCTTCAGCAGCGGCTCCATCTTCCTGGTAAGCGATTTTCCCACAGACTGGGAGAGGGCTCAGCCACTCAAGCTTGAGAACCTGAACTCAGAAGCTCGGCACCCACATAAAGCCAGATGTGGACCCCAAATGTGTATTCCTGCCCTGGGGAGGCAGAGTCAGGAGGATCCATAGGGCTCCTGGGTCAGGCAATCTGGTGGAATCCGTGAGTTCCAGGTTCACCAAAATATCCTACCTCAGGGAATAAAGTGTACCAGCTGCTCTTCCAGGGGACCTGGGTTCAATTCCCAGAACCCACATGGTAGCTCACACCTCTTTGTAAATCCAGTTTCAGAGGATCCAACACCTTTACACAGACATATGTGCAGGCAAAAATACAAATGTACTTGAAAGAAAAGTAAATTGTTTTTAGAAAAAGAGCATTGACCGCTCTTGCAGAGGACCCAGGTTCAATTCTTAGCACACACATGTTGGCCAATACCTGTCTGTAACTCCAGTTCCAGGGTGTCTGACGCCCCCCTCAGCCTCTGTGGGCACTGTATGCATGTGGTGCATATAGACACATGTAGACATGCACCCACACACATGAAATAAAAGAAATAATTTAAAAATAATGTGGAGTGGTAGAGGAGAGACATTGAGGTTGACCTCTAACCTCTGTGCACACCTCAGGAAGTGCACAGATGTCCTGGAACTTGGGAGGAACAGTGGTGCCTTTTTGCTTTTTTTGGTTGCTAGGTTCCCATTCCTGTTGCTGTGCTGAAACTCTGACAAGAGCAACTTGGGGAGAGATAGGCTCAATCAGCTCTCACTTCCAGGTTACAGTACAAGTCAAGATGGTGACTCCATCCACAGTCTGAGCAGGGAGCACAGAGGCCTGCGTGCCAGTTCTAGGATCCCTCTCTTCACCCAGGCCAGGGCCCAGCCCCTAACAAGGTTGAGTTACACAGCAGGTAACACAATGGAGACAGCTGCCTCAGATGCCTCAGGCTTCCCAATCCTGATAATCCCTTACTGATTCTCCTCCCTGGGTTCTTCACTGTGTCAACGTGCCGTTAAAGTCGTCCCAAGGGTTGGAGACCTGACTGTACAGTTAAGAGCATTGGCTGCTTTTGCAGAGACCCAGTTCAATTCCTAGATCTACAATGGCTAGCTCACCACCTCTAAACCCAGAACCAGTGGCTCCAGCGCCCTCTTCTGGCCTCTGAATGCATCTGTGCCTGGTTTTTCAAGACTTGATTTTTCTGTGTAGCCCTGGTTGTCCTGGAACTCACTTTGTAAACCAGGCTGGCCTCAAACTCGCAGAGATTAGCCTGTCTTTTCCTTCCCAGTGCTTGGATTAAAGGTGTGTACCACCATTCCTGGATATAAGCAAAACTCTTAAAAAACAGAACAACAATAACAGCAAAACACTAAGCCTAGCATTGAAGGCCCTGTGAACTGTTCCCACAGAGCTGTCCCTCAGCAGAGCTGTCCCCAGAGAGCTGTCCCTTAGCAGAGCTATCCCCAGAGAGCTGGGGGCAGTCCCTGCTCCAGGCTGCAGCAGTTGCCATCTGTCCTGCACGGGCTCATGTGTTTAAAAGCTTGGTCCCCAGCTGTTGGTGCCGCATTGCAAGTTAGTGGGACCTTTTGCACGCGGGGCACAGCTAGCTACAAGCCAGTCACTGGGAGTGGGCTGGAAAGCGTCAGCTTCTTCCAGTTCTGGCTGGTGCTTCCTGATCCCTCGTGACGCTCAGGCACTATCCAGGCGGCCAGGCCTTCCTCTCTGTGAGGGGGTGTGACCTGGAACTGGAAGCCAAGATAAATCCTGCTTCCTCAAGTTGTGTGGGCTGGAGCAGTGTTTGGTGGTCACGTGCTTCCCTCTGTATTAGAGCACAGGCCAGTGTTCTCGGTGTGGGGAGATGAACACACACAGGCACGGAGCTGCGTCTGAAGCAGTGGGCATAGATGGGAGGACAACAGAGGTTATACAAAGAGCTGATGTAGCAGCAGAGTCTGCTATCCTATCAACTAGAGATCTTGGCCAGCCTGGTCTACAAAGTGAGTTCCACAGCCAGGGCTACACAGTGAGACCATGGCTCAAGATGAATAGAAATAATTTTTAAAAAAGAAAGGACGAGACCGGGCAGTGGTGGTGCACGCCTTTAATCCCAGCACTGGAAAGGCAGAGGCAGGTGAATCTCTGTGAGTTCACACACCACATCAGCTAGTTTTGAGATGGCCTTGTATGGCCAGGCTGGCTTAAACTCTGTGCAGCCCTGCCTCCTCCTCCTCCAGGTTGGAATGACAGGCATGGGCCACTCTACCTTATTTATTCCAAACACATTTCTATCTCATTGAGCTCCACGGTTCCTTCAGGGACAAAAAAAGTCCAGTAGGTTCCCCATGCCTGCGCAGTGGCAACCACATCATCACAGCAGTTACTGTGCTAAGGTAAATGCACTGGGAAATGGTTTCTACACACACTCTAGCCCTTCATCCTGGAGAGTGTAGCCTGGGTTACCTCTTGTCCAATAGGGAAACTGAGGCACTGGGGGCTAAGGAACTCTTCAGTGTGACAGAGCCAGCTTGGGGTAGGGTGACTCGCATCCCATTCAGAAGCTTGACATTCATGTTCCACTGTGCAGGTCTCCTCTGAAGAAGACAGGTTGCTGGAGAAGCTTCCAGAAGCTGTAGGGTTCCTGGTGGTGTCTGAAGACGATTCCGTTCTTGCAGCAGGTAGCTTTCATCTCTCATTGAGTGTAGAGAAGGGAAGTAAAATTTGGCTGAAGGCTGGGTACCTGGTTCCCAGGTAGAATGAGGCACTGGTACCTCTGCCCTGTCTCCCCGCACTCCCTTCTTCCTTCCTAACTGTGCCCACCATTATCTCTCCATCTCTTCGTTTTATAAAATTCGTTACTTTTTGTGTATATATGTGTGTCCTCGCGCATGTATGCATGTATGTGTGCATGTGTGTATGTACTGCGTGTATACACATGTGGGTATGTGTGTATGCATGTGTGCATGCTAGTGTGTGCATGTGTATGAGTATGTATGTGTGTGTACTTTTGTGTATTGTGTGTATGTGTGTGTGCATGTGTGTGCAGATATGGAGGGCAAAAGAGGACATGTACCAATGGACTCTCTCCTTCCAGTCCTGGCATTTGAACTTAGGTTGTTCGGCCAATCAGCAGGAGCCTTTTCCCACTGAATCACTGTGTAGTGTTCTGTCTAGTTTGAACTCAAGACTTTTAGCTTCCCCATGTGAGTGAGAGTGAACCCCGTCTGTCTCCATGTCGGATCATTCCACTCAGCAAGAAGCTCATTAGCTCTGCTCATGTTCCCACGAATGAGAGGACTATAAGGGTTCCGTCACCCATCACATGCTGCATCCACCGTGCACACCTCCACCTACATACAACACACAGACCTGTACTGTGCCCACCACATACCTGTAACACAGAAGCACGTGTCCCACCGTATACCTTACACACACACCCCTCTACGTCACACAAACCTTTAACCACCATGCAGCATACACACCTGTAACACAGAAGCACGTGTCCCGCCATATACCTTACACACGTACCCCTCTACATCACACAAACCTTTAACCACCATGCACATTACACACCTGTAATTACCTCTTGAGATTTTAAATGTTTTTATTATCTTTAGTTGTATATGTGATAGATGTGGGTACCCAACGAGGCAATATGTACCAGAGCCCCTGGAGATGGACTGACAGATAGTTGTGAGCCACCATATGGGTGTTGGGAACTGGACCTAAGTCCTCTGCAAGAGCAGCAAGTTCTGCTAAGTATTGAACCATTGCTCCAGTCCCAACAAAAATCTTTTAATTAATTGTGATTATTTAAATTAATATTAACCATAATGGTTAATAAATTTGAATGAATATTCAATTTGTTTTAAATCAATCCATATTAACCACGTGGATTATTTTACTTAATATGCCCAAATATTTAACATAAAATCAATATAAATATTATGAATGAGTGATTTCTCTGTTATTGTACCAAGTTTTCAAAATCCCTGTTAAGAGCAGAAGCCGCTCCTCCAGAGCCCCAGGTCTGGTTCCCAGCACATGCAGGGACAGGCAGTGCTCACCTTGTGACTTCAGTCCGAGGGCCCCACAGCCCCCTCTGCCCTGTGGGGCTCAGCTCTCACAGGCACGCTCACATGGCACACAGACACGTGCACCGCAGAGCACACTGGCGCAGAGAAAGGAGAGGAACAGCCGTTGGTTCTGAGCGGCCCTTTGAGAGACAGCAGGCCTGCCTGCCTGCCTGACTGTGATATAGACTCATCTTGACAAGGAAAGAGGTGACCCGGGAGCCAGACTGAGTCCAGGCCCAGCATGGGGACACACAGAGCTTGCCCAGCTGTCTGGGAGACAGCGTGTCCAGAAGCCAGGGAGGGAGAGCTCTGACTGGCTTCTCCATTCTCAACCTGAAGGAACCAGACCATTGCCACTGAAACCTGTCTGACCCTGACTTGGGTCACATCTGTAGTTTTTCAAGAGCTATTATTTCCTGAGCAGAATTGTCGGGTGCTGTCCCCAAGAGTTCAGAGAAAGCAGCAGGTGTCCCTTCTGTCCACTCCTGTGACCCCAGCACAGGAAAGGCAGGAGCAGGAGGATCCCAGGGCCTTCCGGTCAGTCCGTCCAGCCAACCAGTGGGCCTAGGCCTGAGAGAGACCTTGTCTCAGAATGTAAGGTGGGGCCCATAAGGTGGTTCTGTGGGTAAAGTGCTCGATGGACAAGTACAAGGTTTTGAATTCAGATTCCCAGCACACACACCAGCTGGGCACACACCAGCTGGGCACGGAGACAGCCGTCTGAAACCGCAGGCAGATGCTGGGAGTTCCGTGTCCTAGTCAATATGCCAAGCTCCCTCAAAAGTAATTGATGACAACACTCGACAGCAACCTCCGGCCTTGGATTAGGTGTGTGTGTGTGTGTGTGTGTGTGTGTGTGTGTGTGTGGCCCCACATACATACACACACAAAATCTGCAAAGGAAAGAGCATGGGCAGTGTCCAGGAGACACGAGACAGGATTTTCTACTTCTCTTCCCCCAGTTGTGCCAGGAGACTTGTGACATGAGGCACAGTGTGTGGTGTACCCCCAACCAAGCCCTGATAGTAAATTTGCCAGGAGTTGGACACACTGGCATTGTTGACAGCCCAAGAGGCTGACCTTGGTCTCCAGCCCCTCCTAAGATGCCTGGGGAAACTCCCCCAGGAACTCACTTTGTTACTTTGAAAAACACATAGATAAAGAAAGAACATGGTTATCAGTAAGGAAGCTCCATGGGTTGAGAGGCCTTGTCCCCAGAACCAGGCCAGGCCAGGGCCACAGAGTGTGGACATGGGGCTCAGGCTGCGGGTTGCACCTTTGAGGCTGACTGATTGATGTGTGCGTGTGTGTAGCGTGGTGCTTGTGAATTCAGAGCACAACTTCAGGGAGTCCATTCCCTTCCTCTACCATGTGAATCCCGGGATGGAACTCAGGTTATTAGGTTTGGTGGCAAGCACCTTTAACTGCTGAGCCATCACCCTGGCCCCAAAGAGTCGTTTATTTAGTATCCAAGATTAGATCACAAGTGCAGAAAACAAGCAGCTTGAGCCATGGCTCAGCGGCTAGGAGCGCCTAACGCTCTGCCCTAGTGCCAGGGGACGCGGGTTCGAATCCCACCTGGTGATATCGATAACAATAATCGATCAATTGATAAGTCGTTATCGATAAATCAGGAAAAAAAGTTAGCAGCTTGAGCCGTGGCTCAGCAGTTAGGAGCGCCTAACGCTCTGCTCTAGTGTCAGAGGACCTGGGTTCGAGTCCCGCCTGGTGATAACAATAATCAATCATTATCAATAAATCGGAAAAAAAATAAGTGCAGAAAACACCATGGTGTGTTTCAGCAGATAGAATCCTGGAACATTTTCTCCTGGGGGGGGGCAGCATTCAAGGACCCTAGAATACAAAGAACTCCACGGAGGGTGCAGAGAGGCAAGAGACAGACTTGGAGCTAAGGCTGGGGCTTCACGGCTCAAATGTTTGGACTCAGCTGATATAGTACTCATAGCTCAGTGGGTAGAGTGTTTGTGGCTCGGTCAGTAGAGAGCTTGTGGTTCGGTCAGTAGAGAGCTTGTGACTCAGCGGGTAGAGTGCTTGCCTAGCAAGCCTGAGGTCCTGGGTTCCATCCCCAGCACCACACAAACTAGGCATAGTGATGCCTTCCTGTCATCCCAGCACTTGGAAGGTGGAGGCAGGGAGATTGGGAGTTCAGAATCATCCTTAGCTACATAGTGAGTTTAAAGCCAGCCTGAGCTACAAGACACCGTGCCTTAAAACAACCTCAGGTTTCCAGCTGGCTCAGCTTGGTCTGGGAGTTGAGGGAGGATGAGCCTGAGGCACGTACTGGGGAATCCCACAATGAAGCCTTAACATGGTGTCACTGCTATGCGCGTGTACGTGTGTGTGTGTGTGTGTGTGTGTGTGTGTGTGTGTGTGTGTGTGCGTGTGCACGTGTGTGCATGCGTGTGTGCATTTGTGCATGTGCGCGCATGTGTGTATTTGTGTGTTTGCAGTTGTAGAAACTATCCTCAGTGGTATGCATGTACTGACTCTGCTGTCCCATGACAGCCTTGGAGCCCACACTGTTGGTGTCCTTATGCATACTTGGGGGAACGAGGGCTAAGGAGATGGTTTAGTGGGTCAGAACATCTTCTGCGCAAGCATTAACAGAGCACAGAAAAAACGTCCCCAGCACAGAAAAAAACGGGGTATAGTGCATGTGTGCCTGCAACTCCAGTGCTGTGGGGAGTGGGGACAGGAGGCCAGCCAGACTTGCTGGCTTCTGGCCAAGTTCCAGGCACAGTGAGATAGTGGGCAGTGATAGAGAAGAGCCCAGTGGCCTCCTTTGTCCTCTGAAAGTGCATAGACGGGGATACACGTGCACACACGCACACACTGAGGACGGGGAAAGTGGGTAAAGGTGGTCACTGCCAGACCTGCTGACCTGTGTTTGGTCCCTGGAACTCACATGGTAGGAGAGATCCGACTTCCTTGAGGTGTCCTCTGGCCTCCTTTCCTCATGTGCACCATAGCGAATCATGTGTGTAATCGTACACACGTGCACACGCGCACACAATAAAGAATAGAATAGAAAAGAACAATCTTTTTGAGGCAGGGAAAGTAAATGTGGTGGCTCCAGGGATAAATGCCTCCCATGGTCTGGGACATTTGGACACCTGGTCCCCAGGAAATGGTGCTGGGATCTGAGGGAACTCAGTGTGTCCTGACAATAGAGAACTTCATGAGTTTCTCTCCAGCTCCATGACTGTCACCTCCAACACACATCTGCTGCTCAGGGTGGGGCCGTGCCCCCTCTGGCCTCGGGACAGCCTTCCCCTGGGACACCGTAGGTGCTCCAAGAAGGCTCCATGAGTTGGGTAACGGCTCCGCCAGGCTCAGAGGTCTGACTGGGCTCTGCTACCACAGGCTTCGGAAGATCTGTGCGGATTTTCTTAGCTGACTCTCAAGGCTTCCACCGGTTCATGGCCACGGATCTGGAACATGAGGACGTGGTAGAGACCGCAGTTGTGGGTCCTGAGAACAACATGATCATCACAGGCTCCCGGGATGCGCTCATCCAGGTGAGAGCGGACCCAGGACCCTGACCTCAGAGCATCGGATCCCTAATACCTCCTAAGTTCATATACACAGAAAACAGATGAGCTCAGACCTAGACAGGGGTGTTTAGTGGGATGATGTGGGGTGCTGGTATTCTGTGCCCTGATAGCAGACTTGGAATGTTCCCCAAAGCAGGCAGCATTCTCAGTCAAACCTGAGCATTCAAGATAGTATTCTTCAGGGCCACAGGGGAGGAAAATTCTCAGCAGCCAGCACGGGCAAGACTGTCAAGGTAGGGACTTTGAGTTTCCCAACATCTTGGTCTTATGACCTCCTTATAGTCTTAGAGGTTCTTGAGAACCCAATAGAATTTATTTATGTAGGAACACATCTTTATTTATTATAGGCAGTATACATATATGCCAATGTCAGGGATGCATTTTCTGTTACTATAATAAAATACCTGAGGCTGGGAACTGTATATAAAAATAAGTCTACCTGGCTCACAGTATTCAGAAGTTGACTGACTACAGAGAATGTCACCAGTTCTGATGAGTCCTCCTTGTTCGTAGCACATCTGTGCGAACAGTGTGAACCTGTGTGAGGGGCGATCACACTTAGGCCAGACCTGCCTGCATAACAGTCCCCTCTCCTGAGAACTAATTTGAGTTCCATAACAACTACTTGCCCCTCCCCCTCATTTTGGAGACAGGGTCTCTAGCTCAGGCTAGCCTTGAACTTGATATGGAGCCAAGGATGATCCTGGAGTTTTGCTCTCCCACCTTCTGCCTTCTTGGACTTACAGATGTGCACAACCACAGCCAGCTGCTTAGTTCCTTCCAAAGACTGCATTGTCTCCCACTAGGCCCCACCTCTTAAGTCCCATCACCTCTCATGCCACCCCCGCCACCCCCAAGACCAAGCCTCCCACCCTTGAGCCCTTAGGAAACCACACTCAAGTGAGGAGATGAAGCCCAGCCTGTCTCAGCTACATAGCAAGTTCATGGTTGGTCTGGGCGATGTGAGACCCCATCTCAAATAGAAAAAAAGGAGGCAATTCAAGAACACACAGCCGTGAATTCACCAGGCCGTGTTCACATGATGACATAGTTTTATCACTGTTCTTGTTATTTTACGTGTACGAACATCTTGTACCATGTGCGTGCCCGGTGCCCTCGGAGACAGTAGAGTTTGGATCCTCTGGAGCTGAAGTTATAGATGACTATGAGCTGCCATGTAGGCGCTGGGAATTGAACCGGAGTCTTCTGCAAGAGCACTGAGTATTCATAACAGTTGAGCCATCTCCCCAGATCACATGGTGGTTTCCTGAAACACCACACACACACACACACACACACGTGCACATATGCATGTATACTACGATCTCACTCATTCAGCTCTTGCAGAATTCTGCCACTTACCCACAAGGACAGGCCAGTACTGTAGGATTACTCTGAAGATAGTACACTGCTGCAGACCAGAGAGGCCCGCAGGGTGTCTCCTGGGGTCCCTGGGGCATCCTGTGAGAATGCTGGGGCCCTGGGAAGTCTTCAGCAGCTAGGGTGGGTGACGACTCTGGAACCAGAGCCTCCACGTTCAGCAGAGGCAGGTGCACAGCCGAAGCATGTCCCTGGGGCAGACCCATCCTTCTCTTCTCCACCCTCAGGTGTGGAGTCTGTCAGAACAGGGGACCCTGCTGGATGTCCTCGAGGGCGTGGGAGCCCCTACAAGCCTGCTGGTCCGGGGTGGGACTCTGGTGGTGTCTGCTTCCTCGAAGTCTTCGTCTGTAAAAGTCTGGGATCTCAGGTCCACTCAGAAGCCAAGGCCTCCTGCTCCGTTTCTGGACCGCACGGGCCTCGCAGCAGTGTCCCATCACGGCAGCTACGTCTACTTCCCCAAGGTCGGGGACAAAAACAAAGTCACGATTTGGGATTTGGCAGAAGGTTTGTGAGAGATGACTAGCATGTGTGTGGTGAGTTCTGGACTTACTGTCCTGGAGGTGGAAGTCCAAGATGAGGCCAGGATTTGCCTCCGTTGGTAGAGTGCTTGTAGCTTAGTTGTGCAGTGTTTTTCTGGCATACGGGAAGCCTCAGGCTCTGTCCCCAACACCACAGAAACCATGTGTGCTGGTCATGGTTGGTAGTAAAAGCTAAAAGGACAAAGATAAAACCACAAACTCTGGCTCATAAAGTAAACAAAGGAACTAGGAGGATGACTCAGTAGGCAAAGCACTTGCCGTGCAAGCATTCAAACCTAAGTTTGGATCCCCCCCTTCCACATAAGTGCTGGGTTCTAATTCCAGCAGCTGGCAGGCGGGTCCCCAGAGCAAGCTGGCTCTAGGTTTAATCCTGCCTCCGTGAATGGATGGAGAGCAACTGAGGGAGACTGCTGACCTCAGTCTTGTCCTACACACACACCTTCACCCACACATGCCTCCAACATGCTCGTGGACATGCATGCACCTGCAGCCATGCTCATGTGAACATGCACACACCACACATACATGTGAAAAGAGGTTGAAAAGCATGTGAATAAACTGCACTCAACCTTGGATGTGCACACGTGAACATGGAACAGAGACGCACAGACATGCATGACAAGGCTAGAGGTGCTGGAGGGGCCGAGGGCTGCGCACTTCTGGTTCACAGATGCCTTTGCTACGTCTGTGCAGGATTGACCCGACAAGGCAATGCTCTCGTCTTTTTTTTTTTCTTTAAATCGGGCACTACCCCCTCTTCTGAGGAGTCCAGCCAAGAAATCTAATCAACTCCCAAGCCTGCACCTCCCAAAACCATCATGAAGATGAAATTTCTTTCTTATTTTTTTTGTGGTTTGAGTTTTATGTGCAAGTATGCATATGCACCACGTGTGCCCGGTGCCAGTGAGGTCAGAAGAGGGCATCAGAGTCCCTGCAGCTGGAGCTTGTGAGCTGCCACATGGGTGCTGGGAACTGAACCCAGGTACCTGCAAGAGGAGCCGGTGCTCTTAACCACTGAACCATCTCTCCAGTCCCCAGATAGACACTGAATTTGGCATAGTGTGAGGGCTCAAACATTCAGTCTATAATTACCAGGGTGTGAAGGGGAGAGGGGACGGGTGCACTGTGTCCCGAGGGTTGTAGGACACCCCTGGGAGGGTTAAGCAGGACTATAAGGTGATGCGATTTTCATTTAGATTAGATTCCAGTCAGGCTGGTCGCACACCTGGCTGTAATCCCAACTACCAGGAAGGCTGAGGCAGGAAACCGAAGAACTGGAGATCAGCCTAGGTGATTAGGGAGGTCCCATGTTGCTAGACTTCCCCTGGGCGTTTATCTCTGTGCACCCCAGATACAGCAATCACTTCTGACAAAGCCATGCTGGACCAAGGAGTCTGCTGGAGTTACAGGAGCACGGGCGCGGTGGGGGTGGGGGTGGGGGAGCCTGCTATGTTATCCCAGTTCCCACGCAGCGCTCAGACACTCGTGAAAGCTACAGGTGTGCACCCTTTGCAGACAGCTCACAGCCTGGGGCACCCCCCTCTCCTATCATAAGGGAATGTTTCAATATGAAAGAAAGAACTTCATGACACCGCGTCTCAAAATTTAACCCAGAGTCAGTCTAAGGCGTGGCGGGCGCGGGTGCTGGAGAAGGCTGCCCCAGTGCTATTCCCCAGGGTCCAGCAGGGCCAGGTAGACTGTGGTATCATGGAGCACGTGCAAACCCAGGTTCTTCCCTCCCCTCTGCTGAGCACAGCCCCATCCCCTAGCTTCGGCTGCCATTTCCTCCCAGTGCCTCTCAAGCTTGTGGGAGCTCTGGGTCCCCATCGGTTCCTTCAGTGCCTACTGAGCATGCATCAGGCCCTGGCTTCCATTTTGCCTCAGGGCTTACTGAGCATGTCTATAGGTGCAGGGTTCATTTGCAGCTCCAGGCTCAGTCAGAAAACTTTACACTATCCAAGCTGAACCTTAGGGTCAGAAAATAAGAAAGCTAAGGCCAGCTAAACGTCCACCAGGTAAGGCTGAAAATGTGGGTTCGAGCCCCAGGACCCATATGGTGGGAAAGATGAATTTGTCCTCTGACCTCCATACACATATAAATAATTGTAATGTTTTAAAAGCTTAAGAAAAACAGACGATCCATCCCTGACTCTCTTCTCCCTGAGCAGGTGAGGAACAGGATTCCCTGGACACGTCCAATGAGGTCCGGTGTCTGGAGGTGGCCGAGCAGGCTAAGCTCCTCTTCACAGGCCTGGTTTCGGGGATTGTGCTTGTGTTCCCCCTGAATTCCAGGCAAGATGTGCTGTGTATCCCCCCACCCGAGGCCCGCAAGGCTGTCAACTGCATGTCCCTGAGCAAGAGTGAGGACCGGCTGGCCATCGCCTATGACAACATCGTCCTGGTGCTGGACATCAGCCCCGGGGACCCATGTCCCACCATCGAGGGCCCCACCTACACCTTTTACACTCAGCTGCCGGAGACCATAGCAAGTGTGGCCGTGCTGGCCGACTACCGTGTTCTCTACGGCATGACTGATGGCGGCCTCTTCCTGTACAACTGTGCAAGCTCCAAAGTGTTCCCGCTGGAGGCCCACGGGAGCAGGGTGAGCTGCGTGGTGGTCAGCCACGGGGAGCAGCTGGCCGTGAGCGGGGCAGAGGATGCGCTGCTCTGCCTCTGGGACCTGCAAGCTTGCAGGGGGATGTTCGAGATGAGCTATGAGGTGGGTGGCCTGGACGCTGACATCCATGCTGTGCCCTTTCCTCTTCCCTCCTGTGCTCCTTTCTTTTTTTGTGTTTACACTGCTTCTAGCTGTGAGCGTACATCTTTGTGTGTGATGGATAGAGGTCAACCTGGGTGTCATTCCTCACCTTGTTTTGGGGGGTCCTCCCATTAGTCTGCAGTGGGCAGGGTGCTCCTATCTACAACCCCCCAAAGCTGGGATTGCAAGTGTGGGCCACCATGCCTACTTTTTTTTTAAACATGAGAACTAGGGCTCAATCGCAGGTCCTCATACTTGCCCAACAGTTGATTCAAATGAGAAGGAAGGCATTCCTAAGAGGTGTTCCCTAGCCCCCAGATGCATGCCCAGCCACCCACTGGAGCATTGCACCCATGCCGCACTGCAGCAGCTCTAGAGTTGTGGCCTGTACACACATCTGTGCGTGCACTGCACCCTGAAGCTCTCGCTTCTGTGAAGACAGACCATGCTCCTTGGAAAGTGCATCTCTCTGGGGTTTGCTCTGCTCTGCCTCCTGTGGGGAACTGGGTTTGGGTCACTGGCTGGCTGAAGGACTGGTCTGATCTCAGCTGGAAACGGCATCATGCGGTACACTAGTTATTTTGTTACCAAATCACTGACTAGAAGCACCTGAAGGGGAAAGAGCCGTCCCAGCTCACTGTTGTAGGGGACACAACCTAAGCTGGAGGGAAGGCATAGAGCCATATGGCTCTATGGTGGCGGGGGTGTGAAGCTGGGACTCCCCACCTCACATCTTGGTGGAACAGGAAGCTGAGAATGAACAGGATGTGCACTGGGCTAGAAAGCCCACAAACCAAAACCACAGCGATCCGCGTCCTCTAGGGAGACAGACCTGAGAAAGGTCTTCAACTTTCCCAACACCAGCTGTGGACCAAGGGTTAAAACACGTGATCCCAGGCAAACGGGAGGGCTCAGCCGGAGGCCAAGCTCGATGACCTGAGTTCTGTCCCCTCTAACCACATGGTGTAAGTCGAGAACCAACTGCAAGCTATCCTCTGACTGCATACAGCACTGTGACATGCAGCCCCCCCACCCCCACAAACAAATTCAATACACGTGAACGACACCAACAGACACCATGGGAGCAGGGAACATTTCTCACGCAAAGCCTGTCCTATGGTCTGTCTTCACAGAGCTCCTACTGCAGAGGAGTGCGGTGTGCCTGCTTCTCGAAGGACGACAAGTACGTGTTTGCGGGCATGAGGGACCGCTCCATCATTGCCTGGAGTGCGCTGGACGGTGAGTCCAGCTTTAGCATGGAGCTGAGCTATGAAGAAGCCTGTTTTATTTTATTCTCTCCCTCTCCCTTCCTCCCTCTCTGTGTATGTCTCTGTGTGTGTGTGTGTGTGTGTGTACACATGTGCACAAGTATAAGTGAGAGGTGGAGGCTGAGGTTGGCCTAGTCCTCCATGTTATTTTTTTTGAGACAGGAACTCACCTATTCAGCTAGACTGGACACTAAGCCCCAGGGACCCACCCCAGACTATCTCCACCCCGCTAGGATTACAGATCCATGCTGGCCCACCTGGCTTTTGCATAGATGCCAGGGATTCGGACTCAGGTCATCACGCCTGTGTGGCATGGCCTTCACCTATAGTCCTTTGCTTTTCTGTTGCTGTATAAAATATCCTGACCGAAAGCAACTTGGGGAAGAAAGGGTTCATTTAACCTAAAGGCTGTAGTTCGACACTCAGGGAAGTCAGGGCAGGGACCTGGAGGCAGGAGCTGAAGCAGAGGCCACGGAGGGTGCTGCTTACCAGCTCGTTCTGATGCTCAGCCTGCTTCCTTATACAGCCAGGATTGCCTGTCCAAGGGTGGCACTGCCCACAGTGAGCTGGGCCCTCCCCCACCAGTTATTAATCAGGAAAATGCCACACAGACCAGTCATATTCAGGCATTTTCTCAGTTGTGACCTGAGCTAGTGCCAAATTGACAAAAAACTAACCGCACACCTGCTGAGCAGTCCCCTAGGGCTGAGCTCTGACCTGGCAAGAAAAGAGTCATCTTGGGTCTTAGTGGGCCTGCTTCAGCCTCTAGCTTGGTCCCTCAGCTTAGGAGGTCTGCAGGACCCATGATGTCCCTGCTTGGCCCGTGCTCTGGATCCACAATGCCCTCCGCACATGGCCTGCAGACCCCTTTGGGAACAGCACAGATTTCTTCCCCAGGCCTCCATGAGGATGGAAAGTGCCCAGTGAATATGCATTCTGTACTTGTGTGGTGACCATGTGCTGGAGAGGATAGACTTTGGAATCAATGGTTAAGTCAGGTGGACAGGGAGTCCCAGGGAGCCCCGACTCTCCCTCCACAGCTGGGATTGCCAGCGTGCACCACCACACTCAGCTTTTCCATGTGTGCTGGGATCAAACTCATGTCTTGTGTCTGCAGACCAAGCACACTGCCACCTGCAATGTCCTTCCCGCCTCTGTGCCCCAGCTTTCTCGTAAGCAGCCCTTTCCCTATCACAGGCACCCTGCTGGCTGTCCAGTTTGTCCATGCTGTCATCAGCCGAATCATCCCCACCTCCAATGGCTTCATGGCCCCCACAAGCCACGGCTATCTCATCAGAGAACATTTCCAGTGCCCATCAGCCAGAGCCTCCCAGCAAGATCCTCTCAAGAACTTCAAGAGGGCAGTGTGGTTAGTCAAGACCAGGCAAAGGAAAGAGCAGCTGACTGCCGCAGAGGCCTCTCAGGACACAGGGCCAGTGGCCGCAGGGGGAAAGGAATCGAAGTCAAATAAGCGCTCACAGGTCTGCCTGATACTGTGAAGGCCTTGGGAGACTAGGGCTCAGCTCATCTGATAGAACAAACTGTCCAGCTCTGCTGGTGCCTTGTGGACCCCCAGGTCTCCCTCCAGCATCTTCCATTTTCCCGCCTCTTTTTCTATTGGGTTTTCAAACCTGCTCCCCTCAGGTTAGCAGCCTGCATCTCCCATCCTACTCCAAGAACCTGGATCAAAGCCTTGGTTCTGCCTCTGTTGGTTCCAGTAGGCACAACTCTTATTGTTGAGCCAATCACTGGCTCTGGGAGGATCTGCAATCACTGTGGGAACTACTGGAGGGCAGCACTGTGTGGCAGAGTGACAGACTGTAGGGATGTGGTGGGCACAGTGGGCATCCAGCTGCGGTCCGGAATCCACATGGCAAAGCCAGCCTGTGGCTCAACCTTTCCTTTTCCATGTGTGAAGCCAGAGATCTGGGCTGTCATACCATATACACGCTTGCCCATTTGAAGCTGGTGACCGACACATGTGATCACAGTTAGCCTGTGTGTAGCTCCTGCCCTGACAGTGACGCAAAATGGGTTGTACAAAATCTACTCTGGCTGCTTGATGACTCAGCCTTTAATCCCAGCACCAGGAGCCAGAGACAGGCGGATTCCGGTGAGTTTGAGGCCAGCCTGGTCTACAGAGTAAGTTCCAGGACAGACAGGAGATCCTGTAGAAAAGCAGGGGAGGGGGAGAAAATAGAAAAAGTAAGAAATCCACTTGAGGCTAGGGCTGGCTCAGGGCTTAAAGCACCTGCAGTCCCGCTATGAGCGCTAGAGTTTGGACCTCAGAACCCGGGACCATGCCAGGTGGACATTGTCACCGGCCTGCAGGCCTAGCCCCAGGATGTGGGGACAGGCTGTTCTCGTTTCACAGGCTGCTGTGACAAAAACACTCTGACCAAAAGTGACCTAGGGAGGCAAGGGGTCTTTTGGCTTCCACTCTCAGGCCAAGGCCACCAGGGCTGCTGGCCATTGCACACAGCATGACCTCCAACCAGGGGACTCACTCAGCTCTGGACTGAGTGTCCCAGTCACTGTTCTGTTGCTGTCGAGAGGCAACTCATTTAAAAAGAAGCATACAATTGGGGTAGCCCACAGTTCAGAGGCTTAGTCCATTATCATCATGGCAGGGAGCGTGGCAGCATGCATGGCAGGCATAGTGTTGGAGTAGTAGCTGAGAGATATATCATGATCTGCCGACAGACAGGCAGAGAGAGAGAGACTGGGCTTGGCATGGACTTTTGAAAACTTCAAAGCCTACCCCATGATATATATCCTCCAACAAGGCCACACCTAACCCTTGTAATCCTTTCAAACCGTCCTACTCCCTGGTGGCCAAACATTCGAATACATGTGCCTTCTGGAGCCGTTCTCATTTAAACCACCACAAGCAGAAAGCACAGGCTGGGCTGCTTTTCTGGCTTTCTCCAGATTGTTAGCCGCTCATACAGCCCCTGGACCACCTGCCCAGGGAATGGCGCCTTCCACAATGGGTTCCCTCCTGCACCGGTTCACAGTCTAGACATCCTCCACGGACACACCCATAGGCCAGCCTGATGGAGCAGTCCTCGCTTGTCACGTGACTCTAGATTGTATGAAGTTGACAGTTAAAGCTGATTAGGTCACAGAGAATCATGAGCATTCTGGCTAGCTGAGCGAGACACATCTGCAAGCCCTCGGTTTGATAAAGAGATCCTGCCTCAAGGAATGAGGTGGAAGAGGAATCAAGGATGATTCCTGACCCGATCTCAGGCCTCCACAAATAAACATGCGCACACATGTGAGTATACACATGCACAATCTTATGATGCCCAAACTGGCCTCAAACTCCATGTGCACTGTTGAACTCTCGATCCTGTAGGACCACAGTCATAGCCATGCTCAGCTCCCTGACACAACAGAACATGCCAACATCTCCCTGATTTGCGCCAGACCGCCTGCCTCAAAGTGGCTCTCCCCACTATGCCCACAGCCATCTACTGAGCCAGGCTTTTGCCTGGAGCCCTGCTGCACTCAAGTCTTAGGGAGAGCTTTCCTCACTGCATAGGACTCTAGACAGACTCAGCAAACAGCAGTAGAAAAGAGCAAGTGTCTTGGTGTTAGAGATGGAACCAGGACTTGCTAGGCAAGTGCTGGACCGAGAGCCACACCCCCAGCCTGTCCCTGGGGGCACTCCAGACAGGTGCTCCGCTGCTGAGCTCCAGCTTCAAAATGAGGCCTTTGAAGATAGCTCCTCCAGTTATTTCCCAAACAAGTGTTCCAAAATGCATGATGTGGCAGTTCTGAAAATGTTAGTCAAAATTCATTTAAATAAATAAATGAATAAATAGGATTGGAGAGATGGCTCAGAAGTTAAGAGCACTGACTGCTCTTCTAGAGATCCTGCGTTCAATTCCCAGCAACCACATAGTGGCTAACAACCATCTATAATGAGATCTGGTACCCTCTCCTGGTCTGCAAGTATACATGCAGGCAGAACACTGTATATGTAATAAATACATCTTTAAATAAATAAATATTGGTCTGGAGAGATGACTTTTAAAAAAACTTACGGGCCTCCAGGCAATGGTGGCACACTCCTTTATTCCCAGCACTTGGGATGCAGAGGCAGGTGGATCTGTGAGTTCAAGGCCAGTCTGGTCTACATGGAGCGTTCCAGAACAGGCTCCAAAGCTACACAGAGAGACCTGTCTCAAAAAAAAAAAAAAATAATAATAATAGGGGCTGGAGAGACGGCTCAGCAGTTAAGAACACTGAGTGCTCTTCCAGAGGACTGGGTTCAATTCTCAGCATCCACATGGCAGCTAACAACTGTTTGTAACTCCAAGATCTCACATCCTCACACATACTTGCAGACAAAACACCAATGCAAATAAAAGGAAAATTAAAATAATAATAATAGAAAAACCTTATGGGTCAATGAGCTGACTTGGTGGATAATGGCACTTGGTACTCAACCCTGATGGCCTAAATTCAATCTCTGGGACCCACAGGGTGGAAGAAGAGACCCAGCTTCACAAGAGTTGCTTGCTGAACTCACACATTCACCATAGCAATCACACCCTGTTGCAGGGTGAGGGCCCGCTTGTTCATCCCGGCCACTCAGCTAGCTTACATCCGAAATAACCACACAGAAACAGTGTTTATTAAATCACTGCTTGGCCTATTAGCTCTAACTTCTTATTGGCTAACTCTTGCACCTTGATTTAGCCCATTTCTATGAATCTATGAATTGTCACGTGGCAGTGGCTTACCAGGAAAGATTTGACGTGTCTGATTCTGGTGGCTCCATGGTGTCTCTCCCTTACTCTGCCTTTCTTCCTCCCAGCATTCAGTGCTGTCTTTCCTGCCTACCTAAGTTCTGCCCTATCAACTAGGCCAAGGCAGTTTCTTTATTCTTTAACCAATGAAAGCAACACACAAAAAGAAGGAACTCATACACCAACACTCCCCATCATGCACACATACACACAATAATAAGAAGACGAAATTTAGTATATTTTAAGCTATAGCTTGAAAATATGTACTCAGGTGCATTGAGCAATAACTGTAGATTTGTTAAATAATATTTGATTTTTATTAATCTGTATGAACTGTGTATTAACTGTACATATTAGTAGGGGCCCATGAGATAGTTCAGCTTGACTGCAGCACACACTCACCAAACAGCCTCCTTATCCACCTTCAGTTCTGTCCCAAGCTGGTCCTCACAGTTCCACGTCCTTCTAATTCTTGTGTGTGAGCAAGGGAATGAGGCATTGTCATTCTGCATCCAATTTCATGGAACATAATGACCTTTTCTATGGCTGCATGATATTCCATTATTGAGTGTACCACATATTCTTTTTCAACTCTGAAGTGTGACTGTTGGCAATTGCTAGTCAGGAAGTCTCCTACCATTTCCATTTGATTGAAGGACCCTCAACTTGAGCAGAGAGCCCTTGTAGGGGAAAATGTTACTTTTCTGCCTCTCCCTGGCTTCCTCCCCACCCCTCTTGTCAACAGGGAAAGTTGACATAGCGCTTCTGGCCTAAAATTCCAGTGTCTGGGGCTTGGTCACAGAGGTGTTTAATCCCATCTGTTGGGAGGCAGAGCAGGAGGATCTGTGTGAATTTGAGGCCATCCTGGTCTACATAGAAAGACACTGTCTCAAAAACAAAACAAAAATAAAATTCCTGTGTTCACTGCAACAGTCTGAGGGAGATTCAGTTACTGAGCAATGTGCTCCAGGTTGGTGGATGGTAGGTACCCAGGGTGGAAGCTGTAAGAGGCTTCCACTGCTGCGTGAGTGTCAGAGCGGGATCCCCGTCCCACGGGGGTGTGGATGGAGTGTGACCCCCAGCTCTCAGGGGAGGGGGGGGTTGGAGCGTGACCCCCGGCTCCCACGGGGGTGTAGATGAAGCATGACGCATGACCCCTGTCCCGTGTGTGTGTGTGTGTGTGTGTGTGTGTGTGTGTGTGTGGAGCGTGACCCCCAGCTCTCACGGAAGGGGGGTTGGAGCGTGACCCCCGGCTCCCACGGGGGTGTGGATGGAGCGTGACCCCTGTCCCACGTGTGTGTGTGTGTGTGTGTGTGTATGGAACGTGACCCTCGTCCCACGAGAGTGTGGATGGAGTGTGATCCCCAGCTCTCACGGGGTGTGTGGATGGAGCGTGATCCCCGGCTTGCAGGGGCTCTGTGAATGGAGCATGATCCTCGGGGGGAGGGAGGAGGTGTGGATGGAGCATGACACCAGGTTCCCATAGGGGTGTGGATGGAGAGTGACCTCCGGCTCGCAGGGGCTCTGTGAATAGAGCATGATCCTCAGAGGGTATGGATGGAGCACGACCCCCGGCTCCCACGAGGGTGTGGATGGAGCGTGATCCCGGGCTCTTACGATGGTGTAGATGGAGGTGACCCTGGGGCTCCCACAGGCGCCGTGGGTGAAAACATCTCACACAGACGACTTTGCTCCCCAAGCCCTACTACAGGCTGCTGGCTATTCCCATTATTTCATTGCTGTGAGCAAACACTGGGCACAGCAATTTAAGTGGGGTGGGTTTCTTTGGGGTCAGGGTTTACGGTTCCTGTCCATCAAGGCGGAAGAAGGAGGCTCACAGCCAGGCAGGAACTTTGTTGTTGTTCATTCTAGAACTCTGGTCGGTGGCATGGCTCCACCCCTGTTCAGGGTGGATCGTCCCTCCTCAGCAAAAGCTCTCGGGAAATGCACTCACAGACTCTCAGTCACAGTGACGGTAAAGCTGACCCACGGCCAGTCCACCCCTTACCAACTCGGCACATATGCCACCTACATCACACCACAGTCCTTAGGGCCTCTAGGCCATCTCATAATGCAAAGTTGTTGGAGGGAGGCTGCTTGTTTCATTCCCCCATCGCTTAGCCCTGAAATAATCACACAGAAACCATATTATTTAAACCACTGCTTGGCCCATTAGCTCTAACTTTTTATTGACTAGCTCTTACATCTCAATTTAACCCATCTCCATTACTCTGTCTATTACCACGTGACAGTGGCTTACTGGGTAAAGTTCCCAGCATCTGTCTCTAGCGGTGGCTCCATGGCTTCTCTCTGACTCCGCCCTTCTTTCTCCCAGCATTCTGTTTTGTCCCTCCCCGCCGCCTAGCTCTGTCCCCTATAGCTCTGCCATAGACCCAGAGCAGTTCTTTTATTAACCAATGATATTCGCAACATACAGAGGGGACTCCCACATCACAAGGTGCATGTGGTCTGTCTCTGAATACGCTCAAAATAATTGTGTTTATTTTATTTGGGGGGGTGGTGCAGTGCACACTGCCACGGCACATACGTGGATCTTAAAGGACAATTCCTAAGGCTTGTTGGTTCTCCCCCCACCATACTGTTGTCCGGGATCAAACTCAGGTAGCCAGGCTTGGCAGCAGGCACCTCTACACACTGAGGCCTCTCTCCAGTCCCTCAAAGTCTAAACAATTCCAACGTTGTTCAGAAGCCTGTACTGAGGCTCCAGCACCCCCTTAACTGTGAC